GGACTACATCAAACTAAAATGCTTCTGCATAGCAAAAGAAACCTTCAGCAAAACAAAAAGACAACCAATCATATGGGAGAGTATATTCACTATGATATATCTGACAAGGGGTTAAATCCAAAATGTATAAAGAACTCAGACAACTCAACAGCAAAAAAATAAAGAATCCAATTAAAAAAATATCAGAGGACCTGTAGACATTATTCTAAAGAAGACATACAGACAGCCAACAGACTCATGAAAAGATGTTCAACATCACTAATGATTTGGGAAATGCAAATTAAAACCACAGTGAGTTATCATCTCACACCAGACAGAATGGCCACTATCAAAGAGAAAAGTGGTCAGCAAGAATGTGGAGAAAAGGGAACCTTCCTTCGCTGTTGGTGGGAATGTGAATTGGTGCAGCCACTATGGAAATCAGTATGGAGGTTCCTCCAAAAACTAAAAATAGAAATACCATACAACCCAGTAATTCCACTCCTGAGAATTTACTTGAAGAAAACAAAATCAGTAATTCAAAAAGGTAACTGCACATCTATGTTCATTGCAGCATTCTTTACAATAGTGAGGATATAGAAGCAACCAAAGTGCCAATCAACAGATGAATGGATAGTGAAGATGTGGCATACATTACACACAATGGAATGTTGTTTAGCCATAAAATAGAAGGAAATTTGCCATTTGCAACATGAATGGACTTAGAGGGTATGCTAAGGGAAATAAACCAGTCAAAGAAAGACAAATATCGTATGATTTCACTTACAGATGGAATATAAAAAACAAACAAAAAAGGAAGAGACCCACAAATGTAGACAACAAACTGTTGATTACCATAGGGAAAGAGGTGGTGGAATAGGTGAAGAGGATGAAGAAGTACAAACTGCAAACTGTTAAATAAGTTAGACATAGAAATGGAGTACAACATAGAGAAATTATCCAATAATACTATACTATATTCATATGACAATGGGGTAGCTACATCTATTGTGGCAAGCATCTAGTAATGTATACAATTATCCAGTAACTGTTGTACATCTGAAAACATAATGTATAGCAACTTTATTGCAATAAAAATAAAATAAAACTGGAATAGTATCTAAAGCACACACAAGCACAAAACATTTATATAGAAATTGAAAGGATCTAGAGTAGCCAAAACAATTTGAAAAAGAACAAAGTTAGATGACTAGCAGTGTCTGATTTCAAGATTTACTATAAAAGCCATAGTAATTAAGACAGTGTGGTACTAACTTAAGTATAAACATATAGATTAGTAAAAGAGAATAGCATCTATTCATGGACACAAACATATAGTTAAGGTAATTCTATGGATAAAGGATAGTCTTTCCAACAATTGGTGCTGGAACAAGTGAATGTTCATATTAATAATTTTATTTCAACCCACACATCACCCACATGCAAAAAATATACTTGAAATAAACTGTTAAGCTAATTAAAAAACTAAAACAAAACTTCTAGAAGAGAAAAGGGTTAGACAAACAGTTTTAAGATAGGACATAAAAGGCATAAGCCATAAAATAAAGAAATTTAAGAACTGAATTTCATGAAAATTAAAAACCTCTGCTGCCCAAAACACACTGTTAAGAAAATCAAAAGGTAAATTACAGGCTGGAAGAAAATATTCCCAATAATAGTATCTTACAAAGGACTTGTATTTAGGATATATATATATATATATATATATTTTTAAAACACCTCGTACAACTCAATAATAACTAACAATGCAATTAAATTTGGGCAAAAGATTTGAATATATACTTCATCAAAGAAGATACATGTCAAATAAGCACATAAAAATTCTCTATTCCAATAGTCATCAAGGAAATGCAAATTTTAACACTACCACACACTCACTAGAATGATTAAAATTAAAAGGACTAATACTAAGTGTTAGTGAGAATATGGAGCAACTGGAACTCCACAGTAGTCAGTTTCTTAAGCAGAAAGTCACTGCTGATCTTGCCAAGAGCACTTCCAGGAGAACACTGAAGACATGAGCTAGAACACAGTACTGTGAGGACTGAATGGAAGTGAAGCAGCAGGCAAAGCCAGTCATTCACTATCATTTCAATGTGTTTGATTATGCAAGGAAAGTGAACATTTCATTAATAACAGGGGAAACAATTTTAAGGAAGAGATGTTTGCTTGTTTTATGCTGTGACTTGGGTATATAATTGCTGATGTATCAAGATCGGTGGGGGGAGTGGGAAGGGTGACAAACTTACAGTGTCAAAGCGAATGTTGTGGGATCCAGAGTGGAATTTTGTTGTGAAACTACTCTTGGACAAGAGGAAGAGCTCCCTTTCCATTGAGATGAGATTTACGGACATGTAGATAAGTGGATGGGTGGGTGGGTGGGTATTGATAAAGCAGAAAAACGTAATGAAGCACCAATCAAAAGGTGAGATTCTCCGTTGAATGGATAGGGAGCTGATCATGTGAGTTTAAAGAGATAAGTGAAGGGTGTGAAAGGCATCAATGAGAATGGAAAAATTTTATGATTTCAGTAGTATAATTAAGGACTCCTATTTTTAAAATTAATCTTAGTCTATGTATGTGGAAATACAGGACAGTATTGCCAGGTAAATAAATTCTCATTACATATTGCTTTTTATAAAACAGTACTCCTTGGCCTCCATGTGGGAGGATGACACTTCTAGCTCCCTCCTGAGGAAGACATGTTCTGTGCATTCTTCTAATAGCAGTGGTAATGGCCTTTTAATCCCCAGTGCATTTGAGTGATTACAAGGATTTAGAATGGAAGCTCTAGCTTTGGAACAGAGTTTTCCTTCAAAATTACACTAGCTGACCTATTCTAAGAGTCAAACTCCAAAAATCCTATCATATTGGCACTACTCACAGCCAAGTTTACATATGACAACATTCTATTTTAAACTATGATCTATCTCAGCTTCTTAAATTGTAAGTTACACCTTCCATGTCAAATTTTCCAAAGGCTTGCATAACAAGCATATGAAAATAATCTCATAAATGCTCCCTAGTGGGGAAACTGCACATGCAACTACCTGTTTATATATGCAGCAACTTGAATTATACATGAAAATTCCACATGGATGCCCAGAATCAGCACTGTGTTAATTCAAGAAGTATATTAAAATTTTTGGATGTATTTAGTAGCAGATCATAAGAAAAATCTGTTCTTTGAACAGGGCTTTCTTTAAAAAAAAGATCTGTTATTAGTTGGAATCTACCATTTCAAGGAATCTACTCTTCCTGGGAAAAATAATCTGTAATAAACATTAATCTTATAATATATTTTTTGAAATCCTGGGAAATGCCATACTTAGGTCTTTTTAAAAGCTTATAAATATAAAATTTCTCTATTCTGTAAAATGTAAAATTTTTATTGAAAATAAAATTTAAATGATGTCAGTTGCAGAAGTTACCACCTTTTCATTTGAATGCTTGACTTCTATTGGATAATTCTCTTCCAAGAGACCTTCTTGGGAAAAAGAGGTGACAGCCAACTCATTGCCTAATTGATTTAGGAATAGTGCCCAGGGAGACAGTCCAATTAAGTTTACAAGCTGGCAATTAGCAGGAAGCCCTCTAAATCCCTATACTGAGAGCCTGTTTACTTTAGTAAGAAGGCAAATGTGCTAGAGATAGGAAGAGAAAGCTGTGCTTTTTGCAAAGCTGTTGTGAGTAGGCCCACAAGAGAGAGCTGAAGAAAAGCTAGGTATATGTGGGCAGACAGCCTTCTGTTTGACAGGTACCTGAGTAATTTAGAGGGTGTGTGTGTGTGTGTGTGTGTGTGTGTGTGTGTGTGTGTGTGTGTGTGTGTGTGTGTGTGTGTGTGTTTTAACAGACATGCAAAACATCTAACATCCACTTTAATGAGTGTTGTGTATGGAGACATACAACTGTTAAGCATGTAGTTGGGCAAAGTGGAACTGGATTATCTCATAATAAATGAGATTCCAAACGTTCTTTCTTTGAACAATAACATTATGATAGAGTGAAACGCATTTTTTTCTTAAGTGGAAAGAACATAGCCCTTATATCCACTATATCTTTCAGGTAATCTAGTCATTCTCACTAGATTTATTTCATGGGTTCAACTTCAGAGGCAAGAAGATACTTAAAAAAAAAAGTAAATTGACAGCTATTTAATAAGCACAACAATATCTTTAAAAACTTAACTTTGTACCAGAGCCAAAAACTGTAAGTGGTTTTAAAATGTATTTACTTTTCTCTTTTCAAGAGCCATAGTGTTCGTTAATTAAAATCTATCTTTTTAAACCTAAGTGAGATTCTCTCAAGAGTGTTAGATCATACAAAATTACCTCTAAAAAATCACATACTTCAGGGCATAGCTGGTAATGTGAAACTACGAAAGATAAATAAATCATAATAGTACATTTTTATTTTAAAGTTTCCTAGTTGAAATGGGTCACATTAATAAATGGTTTTAATATTAATTCTTTTTAATATTTTTATTTGAAAAGGAAACAAAAAAGTTCCACAAAATGTTTAGCAAATTCCAACCAAAAATTTGCTTTCTCTTTTAAAACACATGCTTTATAATTCCAATCTGGGAAGCAATGAACACTTAAAATTTAAAACAATTTAAATAGAAAATGTATTATATTTCTACAACACAGAATTTTTTAAATGGATATATTAAGTACTTGTAAACTATTCACCAAAGTATTCCTTATGAAAAATATTTAGTAGACAGTTTATTTTGGAAAGCATCAAATGTGAACTTTAAGCTTTTTATTCATCACAATGGACAATTAGGACAGTTTCTAAGTTCTTCAATCTCTAAGGTTCCTTGACATTTAGAAAATCATCACAAAGCTTTCTTAAGGAAATTATATGAGATGTTTGAAAGGCAAGCATATACATATGAGATGACAAATAGAAAATGTATATTCCAAGAATAGTTTTGTCTTAATTATAATGCTGCCATCATAAAACACTTTAATTACTCACCAATATCCTTGACTTACCAAGTTTAAACAAAAGTACACCCAAAGGTCCTCTGTCAAACCTAAGGAAGAGGAGATCATAGATGTCCTCACTTTCAGGCTTCTGAGAAACAACCCGAGGAGCTAGCCACTGCATTTGAACAAGACTGCTGGAAATATCAAAGAACTGATTGAACTGCAGAATCTCCCTGGGTGAGCGATCTTCAGCCAAGAGCTGGATGTAAATAGGTGATAGAGCCATATCAAAAATTTGCAGCTCCCCTTGGTTACTGCCAACTAGCAGGATGGCATCACTTGGGTGACAGCTTATTAATGAAGGCCGAAGTCCAGCCTGGGCTAAGAGAGTCACTCTACGGTGAGTTTCATAAAGAATTACTGAAGAATCTTCACAGCCCAGAATTAGTTTGTCTTCAGTAACATTCCTGCAGCAACTAATGGCCTTTGATCTTAGTGGTATTCTGGTGACTGATACACACTGGATTTTGTTCCGAACACATTGATAGATGCAGCTATCAGCCATGGACTCTTTGTCAATGTTGATGGAATGTTCCACAGTCAACACCTGATGAGGCTGTTTGGTGCTAAAGCAAACATCCAGTGGATCCCATTCTGTGCGGACAGAATTCAGAACCTGTAAGAAATGGATCGAGTGTGTTCACACAGCCATTTTTTTCTTCAGCTGTTATGCATAGGCCTGCATATTAATCAAATATTAATCAAAAGACTATCAAGTGTCACCTTAAACATGAGCAACATATCAGTATGTATATGTACAGGCAAATGTTATATTGTATTTCACTTTATTGAACTTCATAGATAACTGTGTATTTCAAAAATTGAAAGTTTATGACAACCAGTGATGAAAAAGCTATCAGTGCCATTTTTGTAAAAGTGTTTGCTCACTTTGTGTCTCTATATCATATTTGGCAATTCTTGCAATATTTCCAGTATTTTCTTTGTTATATTTGTTATGGTGATCTGTGATCAGGGATTATGACTCACTGAAAGTTCAGATGATGGTTAGGTAAGCAATAAAGTATTTATTTTTTAATTAATTTTTTCTTAGACATAATGTAATTACACACTTAAAAGACTACAGTACAGTGTAAATATGGCTTTTATATGCACTGAGAAAACAAAAAAATCATTGACTTGCTTTATTGTGATACTCACTTGATTGCAGTGGTCTGGCACTGAACCTGGAGCCTGTATATATATTTCTGTCACATAGAACATGTATATATGTACATACAGCACATATATAGCACAGCTGCAGAAATTGTAACATTTGAACTTTGACACTTTGTTTTCAAAAGTTGTTGAAAACTTACAGATATGTCCCACAATATAAAAAAATACAGTAGGCATTCAGTAAATATGTCCCACAATATATAAAAATATAGTAGGCTTTCGGCACACCTGCTGCTCCTGCCATCATTCCAGGCCAGCCGGAGGGTGGCCACACATATGGCACCTACAGGGGCAGAACAAAGAGGCTCCTCCCTGTGCACTTGGCCCACTGGAACTGGCAGTGGAGGCAGGCACTGCAGCGGGAAAGCAGGAAAGAGCTCTTTCTTCCTGGCAGGTGCCAGCACTGTGTGCCTGTGACCCCCACTATTGCTCCAGGTGCTGTCAATTCCAGAGAGAAGAGCTTCTGGGCACTAGAGCACCACCCATCCAAACTTATTATACCATAGTAATCATTAGAAATATGAAATGGCTAAAGAACTTTGTACAAACCCTATCCCTCAAACACCAGAAAGAGGGCTAAGTGAAACTGAAATCACCAATCTTCCTGATAAAGTTTTCAAAATATAAATCACAAACATGGTCACAGAGCTACATAAAAATATTCAAAATATCAGGGAGGGCTACAAGAAAGGAACAGAAACCTTAAAAAATACAGTATCTGAAATGAAACATACAATGGAGGGTTTTACAAGTAGATTAGATGAGGTAGAGGAGACAGTAAATGAAATAGAAATTAGAAAATGGGAAAACAAAGAAACTGAGGCACAGAGAGAAAATGCATCTCTAGGAATAAAGGAATAATAAAAGAACTGTGCAACCAATCCAAAAGAAACAATATTCGCATCATAGGGGTACCAAAAAAAGAAGAAAGAGAAAAAGGGACAGAAAGTCTATTTGAGGAAATAATTGCTGAAAAATTCCCCAGTATGGAGAAAGAAATAGTCTCTCAGGTCATGGAAGTACAGAGATCTCCAAACACAAGGGAAAAAAGGAAGAAAAGAGCAGGACATATAATAATTAAAATGGCAAAGATCAAAGACAAGGAGAGGGTATTAAAAATAGCCAGAGAAAGAAAAAAGATCATATGCAAAGGATAACCCATCAGGCTATCAGATTTCTAGCAGAAACCTTACAGGCCAGAAGGCAGTGGCATGATATATTTAAGTAAATGAAACAGAAGGGCCTCAAATCAAGAATACTCTACCTGGCAAGATTATCACTTACATTTGAAGCAGGGATTAAACAATTTCCAGATAAGCAAAAATTAAGGGAATATAACTCCCGCAAACTGTCTCTACAGTGTATTTTTTTGAGACTGTAAAACATAAGGTAGAATACAGTAATTTTTAGTTCTTGTTTTATTTATATTTTTTTACAATTTTTTATTAAGGTATTATTGATATACACTCTTATGAAGGTTTCACATGAAAAACAATGTGTTGATGACATTCACCCATATTATCGAATCCCCCCCATGCCCTACTGCAGTCACTGTCCATCAGTGTACTAAGATGCCACAGAGTCACTACTTGTCTTCTCTGTGTTACACTGTCTTCCCCATAATCCACCACACACCATGTTTACTACTACTAATAATAATAATACCTCTCAATCCCCTCTCCCTCCCTCCACACCCGACACCCCCACATCTCCCCTTTGGTAACCACTAGTCCTTTCCTGGAGTTTGGGTGTCTGCTGCTGTTTCGTTCCTTCAGTTTTTCTTTGTTGTTATACTCCACAAATGATGGAAATGATTTGGTATTTGTCTTTCTCTGCCTGGCTTATTTCACTGATCATAATACCCTCTAGCTCCATCCATGTTGTTGCAAATGATAGGATTTGTTTCTTTCTTATGTCTGAATAGTATTCCATTGTGTATATGTATGACATCTTCTTTATCCATTCATCAACTGATGGACACTCAGGCTGCATTCGTATCTTGGCTATTGTAAATAGTGCTGGAATAAACATAGGGGTGCATATGTCTTTTTGAAACTGGGAACCTACATTCTAAGGGTAAATTCCTAGGAGTGAAATATGCAGGTAAATGATATTTCTATTTTTAGTTTTTTGAGGAACCTCCATATTGCTTTCCACAATGGTTGAACTAGCTTACATTCTCACCAGCAGTGTAGGAGGGTTCCTTTTTCTCCGCATCCTCGCCAGCATTTGTTGTTCTTAGTCTTTTTGATGCTGATCATCCTAACCAGTGTGAGGTGATTTCTCATTGTGATTTTAATTTGCATTTCCCTGGTAATTAGCGATGTGGAGCATATTTTCATGTGTCTGTTGGCCATGTGAATTTCTTCTTTGGAGAACTGTCTTTTCATATTCTCTGCCCATTTTTAAACTGGGTTATTTGCTTTTTGTTTGTTGAGGCATGTGAGTTCTTTATATGTATTGGATGTTAACCATGTGTCAGATATGTCATTTACAAATATATTCTCCTATACTGTAAGATGCCTTTTAGTTCTGTTGATGGTGTCCTTTGCTGTACAGAAGATTTTTAGCTTGATATAGTCCCATTTGTTTATTTTTCCTTTTGTTTCCCTTGCCCAAGGAGATGTGTTCAGGAAAATGTTTGCTCACTTTAATATTCAAGAGATTTTTGCCTATGTTGTCTTCTAAGAGTTTCATGGTTTCATGACTTACATTCAGGTCTTTGATCCATTTTGAGTTTACTTTTGTGTATGGGGTTAGACAATAATCCAGTTTCATTATCTTGCATGTAGCTGTCCAGTTTTGTGAACACCAGTTGTTGAAGAGGCTGTTACTTCTCCATTGTATGTCCAAGGCTCCTATATCATATATTAAATGACCATATATGATTGGGTTTATACCTGCACTCTCTTGTCTGTTCCATTGGTCTATGGGTCTATTCTTGTGCCAGTACCAAATTGTCTTGATTACTGTGGCTTTGTAGTAGAACTTGAAGTTGGGGAGGATAATCCCACCAGCTTTAATCTTTCTTCTCAGAATTGCTTTGGCTCTTTGGGGTCTTTTGTGGTTCCATATGAATTTTAGAACTATTTGCTCTAGTTTGTTGAAGAATGCCATTGGTATTTTGATAGGCATTGAACTGAATCTGTAGACTGCTGTAGGAAGGATGGCCATTTTGACAATTTCAGTTCTTCCTAACTATGAGTAAGGGATGTGTATCCATTTATTGGTGTCTTTAATTTCTCTCATGAGTGTCTTGTAGTTTTCAGGATATAGGTCTATCAGCTCCTTGGTTAAGTTTATTCCTAGGTATTTTATTCTTTTTGATGCAATTGTAAATTGAATTGTTTTCCTGATTTTCTTTCTGCTAGTTCATTGATAGTGTGTAGGAATGCAACAGATTTCTGTGTATTAATTTTGCATCCTGTAACTTTGCTGAATTCAAATATTAGATCTAGTAGTTTTAGAGTGGATTCTTTAGGGTTTTTTATGTACAATATCATGTTATCTGCAAACAGTGATAGTTCAACTTCTTCCTTACCAATCTGAATGCCCTTTATTTCTTTGTGTTGTCTAATTGCTGTGGCGAGGACCTCCAGAACTATGTTGAATAAAAGTGGAGAGAGTGGGCATCCTTGTCTTGTTCCCAATCTTAAAGGAAAGGCTTTCAGCTTCTCACTGTTAAGTATGATGTTGGCTGTGGATTTGTCATATATGGCCTTTATTATATTGATGTACTTGCCCTCTATACCCATTTTGTTGAGAGCTTTTATCATGAATGGATGTTGAATTTTGTTGAATGCTTTTTCAGCAACTATGGAGATGATCATGTGGTTTTTGTCCTTCTTTTTATTGATGTGGTGGATGACATTGATGGATTTTCTAATATTGTACCATCCTTGCATCCCAGGAATAAACCCTACTTAATCATGGTGGATGATCTTTTTGATATATTTTTGAATTTGGTTTGCTAATATTTTGGTAAGTATTTTTGTATGTATATTCATCAGGGATATTGGTCTGTAATTTTCTTTTTTTGTGGTATCTTTGCCTGGTTTTGGTGTTAGAGTGATGTTGGCCTCATAGAATCAGTTTGGAAATATTCCCTCTCCTTCTACTTTTTGGAATACTTTAAGGAGGATGGATATTTGTTCTTCTCTAAATGTTTGATAGAATTCAGCAGTGAGGCCATCTGGTCCAAGAGTTTTGTTCTTAGGTAGTTTTTTTGATTACCAGTTCAATTTCCTTGCTGGTAATTGGTCTGTTCAGGTTTTCTGTTTATTCCTGGGTCAGCCTTGGGAGGTTATATTTTTTCTAGAAAGTTGTCCATTTCTTCTAGGTTATAATTTGTTAGCATACAATTTTTCATAATATTCTCTAATAATTCTTGGTATTTCTGTGGTATCTGTAGTGATTTTTCCTTTCTCATTTCTGATTCTG